TTTGCACCATGTTAGTAACCTCAAAAAAATTAATTAGATTAGTCAGACATGACCTATCTTTCACAAATCCATGTTGACAATCTTTGATTCGCTCATACCTGTCCAAAATGCTCAATCACTCTGTCCCTGATGAGAGATTCCAGTAACTTCCCCACAACAGAAGTTAAGCTGACAAGTCTGTAATTATCTTGTTTCTCCCTCACTCCCTTCTTAAATAATGGAATGACATTTGCAATTCTCCAATTGAATGGCACAATCCCTGAATATAGACAGCTTTGGAAAATGATGACTTGCGCACCTGCAATTTCTTCCTACTTCTTTTAATACCCTGGAGTAGAATCTATCGGGTACTGGGGATTTTGTCTATCTTTATTTTCCCCATTACCATTTTTTAAATTTATATTAAATCCATCTATCTAAACCAACAAATGAACTTTTGTAGCATGTGCCAAGACTTTCAATTTATGCTACCTATGGCCCTTCCATACCAGCTTGTAGCCATAAATGCTTACGGCAAATGTAAAGCTATTAAATAGCCCTGCTATTGAAGCTACTCAAAAGTTTGGAAATGACTGAGTAAACTAATGGTGAAGCATTACAAAGAAGTTATAATGGTCCAATTAAGGTTGTTATTGGGCTACTGTTTTCTTTCAAACAAAAAAATGGTTTGCCAAGTTTGTTACATGGCTTTATTTATTTTGCTCCCAAAATTACACCACCCATCTTACTTCATATTAATGTACTGCATGGAAACCCATATGTGAGTGACTATGCAAGTCATAGAAACCTGCATTTCAAAACATTTCAGAGCCCACAAATATTGCTGAATGTGGATTGATGTGGTTGTTATCAAGATCCTACTCGTCTCAATTTACTGTCTAATTATTTAAAAGCTTAGTAGCAGTCACACACAACACAGAGATGAATGCATAAATTTTATATTGTGAGTATAATATACTATCATGATGGCAGTATTCATCAAATCATTCTAAGCAAAATTACAAAATAGTGACCAAAGTGGGATAAAACCTGAAAATTGGTGCCAAATGGAAATGTATTGAATTTTGTGCAAAACTGCTTACAGATTTCACTTGCAAAAATGAATGCGAGCAGTTTGGAAACTTAAATTGCTCTGAAATGTGGCTGTAAAAGCAGGAAACCTCTCTTCATTTTTATCCTGATTTACAATTTGAGAGCAGAATAAATGTATTTGTAATAAAACGCCCATACCCTAAGTCAAAAGTCCTGGCACATGTTATAAAGCACATCTGTTCACATTTCCAATTTTACTGATGCTATGGTTAATAGTGTTATAAATTACATATATAAAATGTACTTTTCAAAAATGTGTGGTAAAATAGCTTCAACATTAAGGAGCAGATTACAAAGTTATAATTATGAATGGCAGTAGTGCAATTATTTATGTGCACAGCATACCAATCATGGATAGGTTGTACTCATGAGTCCATACACAATAATTTCACAGCCTTGGTCAGTTCAAAATGTTCCTCACATGAAGATAGAAAATCCCATCAACTCACCTGAAAATCAGCCAATTCACATTCTGGTGTTAGTTATAGAGCACATTTGACAGAGGCTTCACAAGATAACAAGAAAGGTTCAGATGAAGAAGACTCATTTGATCTCATCCTTCCAGAATATCCACCCTACCATCAGTCCACTACAGCATAAAGTTGTATTTTTAAATGAGTCCAGCATCCTGACCCCAAACACCCTTCCTGCTAACTTGTTCCAGTTGTTAATTACCCTCTTGTTAAAACAATACATTCTGGTGGCTGTCCCTTCCCAGCCCTAAACCTGTGTCCCAATTGTTCGGCTCGTTGCACAGAAAGTATTATTCATATTATTCAAGAAATTATTGTTCATATCTAGCCTGAATATGACTTCTGTGTTGAAGTTAAGAAAATATAAAATGTGAAATGGCCCTTGTACCTGGTCTTTCCATAGCAATGCTTCACCTAACCAGTCTTCGGCTTCATCCAAAGCACTCTGTCTTATGGAGAAAGTTTTGATTAGCTACATCCTGAACTTTAAATTAATCAAGCATCTCTACTGTTCAGCCCTGGCCAAAGTCCCTGCAGACAACTTTCCCGAAACAGGCTCATCAACCCAGAAGCAGAGTGTCTCACTGAGTATTTGTAGATCTCTGGCTTCAACTGTTTCTAAAGCCATCAACAGGGTCAATTTAGCAGTAGGTTCAGCACTTAGAACACGGTAGGTACGCATTGCGCTTCCAAAGGCATTTCTGTGAATCCCTGTTAGTGGCATTGCATTCTTTGTGCCTTTTACTTAACAGCTTTTTAAATTCTTCACCACTGAGAATAGCCACAGGAGGAATCACTTAACCCACATCTGCGTACATTCAACGTGATAAAATATCAGTATCAAAATATCAATAACTATATGCCTAAATTTACATCACTTACTGTTCCCAACTAGACACTTTTTCAAAGAGTTAATTAGTGAAAGCTTCACTTGTTTTTATTGCGTGTCTGCTCCATATGCCCACTATTTTGTAATGTTGGTAAGGTGGGAGAGGAGAGTCTAATTGTTACTTACATTAAGGTTTTTTTTAATTTTAGGCCTATGCCTTCTAGTTCTGTTGTCAAAGTTTAAGTCAGGTAGCCTGCTTGCATAATAAGATTAATCTTCTTGACATTTTAAAGACCAAAATCAAGTGCCCCCTCAATCTTCTTTCAAGTTCAGTCCTGCGAGCCTTCCCTTATAATTTAGCACTTTGACTCTCAGAATCGTTCTTGAATGCTCTCCGATTCTTCAATGCCATATTGAAGCTACACGGCCAGAATTCCTCCTGATCTATCCTGCTAGACTGTTTATTTTATCTGACACATGCGGAATCCCATCACCATGCTGAAGAGTATTCAAACCAAACTGGGAATTCCATGCATCCCACCTACACATGGAAATTCCAGAAATAGATTGTTGGTAATGTTGGTTCCCCGGAGGGACACATCCTGCTTACCTAATTCTGGAGAGTATCAGGCACAGGTTAGAAGGAGCCAAGCTTTGGCACTACCAGAATGTGTGTTGGGTTACTGCTGGAATCTAACCAGGTAAAACCGCAGAGTTTGCCATTGATAGCACTGCTGGCAAGCTTTCCTGCAACTTTCCAGCTAGGACCACCCTACTATATAGGGCTTTGGCTTGCAGAGTTAACCAGAAGCTGAGTGGGATGATTCCCTACAATATAAATACTTGAAATTGAAAGCATGCAGAATTGTGCAGAACTTCCTAAATTATGTCTTAATTTGGAAGCCAGTTCATTTCAAGAATTGCAGAGAAACAGCTTCCAAATTGAGACTTTTTCTCAATTTTCCACAATCCGAAATTTTAAGAGAAAATCGTCTTACAGGATAAGACTAGGTGGAATTTCGGGCCTACAACACCCAAAGGTGTACCCAATATTTTAATGGTATCTTCAACACTGCTCTATAGGAGGTTAGAATGGCATAATGTACTGTCAAATAATAATAATAATCCTTGCTTTTGATATAGAGCTTTTCACGTCTTCTAGACGTCTCAAAGCGCTTCACAGAATATACTGTAAAGTGAATTGACTATATATTTGTTGGCGGAACAAGACAACTAATTTTGCACAGCAGTGTCTCACAAATAGTCCTGGATTGAGTGACCAAATTATCAGTGTTTTTTNAAGGATTATTATCTCTGGAAAAGCGATCCGCCAATCGAATAACAACCGATTAAATGCTACCAAGAGGCAAACTTACAGCTTGATCCCATTATTAATCAATGGTTTGGGTGATCAATGCAGCTGCTGCATTACAATGGAGCATGCTAAAAAAATATAGGTGCTGGTTAGCACTTCTGTGTCGTCGGGTTGCCATTGACATCACTTCCTACGCATTGCCCGCTGATGGCAATTAGGCTTAAAGACTGGATGATGAATTGATGCTGAGAGCATCCTCTATGTTGTGCACAGCTCTCCCTAATCACTGATGGGGTGGTGAAACCTCACATCAAACACATTTGGAAATTGCAAAATCTTTCTTAAATAGTAAAAATACACAGAACACAACATTTCATCTGTGTATAGAAATGCACTTTGGAAAGTTAGCATGGTCTGCAGAAATTACTGATGGCTAATTTTAGATTTAGATGCTCTCTAGAAAAATGAGGACAAAAATTAAATAATAATCATGCAAACTAAAGTGCATATAATATATTTAGTGATCCCAGCCCAGCTGATTTGCCTAATGGAATAGGCACTGGTGAGACTAGAGTAGGTGGCATATAAAGAAATGTCTTGAATTTTTTTTGGACAAATTCCTGCAATTACTAAGTTAAAGTAATTTTTTTATTCACTGTATCCTTTCATTTTATTGGTTTGGAGCACTCACTTAACTTGCAGTAAGGTACAGTGCAATGAGAAACCTTTGGTAATTTACAGTACAAATAAGGAAGATGATTTCAGGTTAATTATTTGCTCTCAGCTATTTTTTAAAAATCTTCTGGTGTGTCATACAAAACATCTAAATATAGCAGCATATTGTGTATTTGATACTGGAACTTTTTTTATTAATTGATCAGGATTTAAAATAAAAAAGTGCTTTTGATATAACACGTATTGCTGGAATGTTTCAAAGTGCTTCAGAGGATTTACTGTAGAGTGTAGTGACTATGTATTTTGTAGGCGAACACAGCAGCTGATTTGTACACAGCAATGCCGCATTTTGAAGTCCATTTTTATCTGGAAGATGATTGCCCAGGACACTGGGAGAAACTCCCTTTTCTTTTTGAATAGTGCTGTGGGATCTTTAGTATCCACCTTAACAGGCAGATATGTTTATTTCTTTTTAGAAAGACAGCATTAGTTTTGTACTATCTTGAAAATTATAAAAGAAGATGTTTATTATACAGAAGGAAAGGATTGTAAAGAAATATGAAACTTCTTATTTGTCACTGTGGCTGATCATTTAACCTTATGCATTTCTTTGCAGTTGTTCTCCAAGTATGTGGGCTTGTTTTGTATCCAATCAAATTCGTAGAAACAGCCACCATGCAAACATACCACGAATTCAACTGGGGTTATGGTATTGCCTGGGGAGCTACAATCTTCGCATTCGGGGGAGCCATCCTTTACTGTTTAAATCCCAAGAATTATGATGACTACTACTAGAACAGAACTGATTCTACTAAGAAAATGAAATACTCACATCTCCACTAACTGGTTGCTCTCTAAGATAGTGAAGTGTAGCATTCAATCTGTTTTATCAATACACTATTCACTTTGGCTGCATTGAAGATAACTGCTTGAAATCCTGTGCCACAGCTAACAAACTTCAGAAGAATTCAAAGATTATTTTTCTGTGCATTAGCCATGTCAGATACAAGCTTCCAAAAGTGTCATATCGATTGAAATGAATCAGAGAGTTGGAAGTACAGTGAAGAATACCAATATCAAGAATACAAGATGAAAATCATAATGCGTGGATGCTCATTCCAATCTGCCTTCTGAAAAGCATTTGCTCCAAACTAAATGGACATGTATTTTCATTCTGAGGCTGGAAGTGGTGCCTTTTTGGACTAATGTATGACTTGGCTGGGGTAAAGTATGGAACATGCTGATTGTACTGCAGTGACTCAAGTCAGACATGCATGCTTGTGTCAGTTTAAACGAGTCAGCCACACCTTCTCTAAAACTAGCATTGCACTCTAAACAGGAGTATAGAATTACTACTACTACTATCAATTGTTTCAGAGATATGTAATGTATCTGGAACACAAAGCAGTTTCCAAGCTGTACTGAATTTCCATTATATTGTCCAGCTAAAGCTGCACCATCCTGTTTTAGCTTTCTTATGCTTAGAATCACATTTTGTAGAGTATCTTCATCAGAGATAAAAGCATAACAAAGGTATATAGATTACAGCTTGATTTGAAGTCACAGATGAGCATGTTGATGCATTGAAAGTTAATAACTTTGCCTAGAATGATCCAGTATATAATGGTTCGCACTCTAATTTACTTGAGCAATGACTGTATTTTTATAATAAGTTTGTGTACACTAATCTATTTCCTGTATGTACTATATTCCTTAAACTGTGCCTAAAATCTAATTTTGATCAATATCTATTAAGATAAATATGATAAATATCAGTTGCAGATATTTGTTGTTATTTCCTTTTGTTTCTGTATCTTTTTCGTGGAGTACAATGATCTTGAAATACATTTTATTACAGGTCATTTCTTAATATTCATAAAGAGAAAATGTGATAGGGTATACAGTTTCTTTTAGCTTTAAAAGCAACACATTAATATTGGAAATCTTTAGAAATGTGGAGAATAAAAGGCTTCTATCCATTAGCCTTCATTTTACTATTGTTTTCTAACTGATGAAGTATCAGCCAATATTACACAATGGTCTGGTTGTCCACTATGACAAAACATGCTGAGTGTTTGAACTCTTTTAACAGTTCTCTTTCAATTGCACCCTGGAGAAAACGACACTGCAAGCAACAAACCTCCCTTGGTAATCGCAGGAGAGTTATGGATGAAGAAAGTCCTTCTGCCCTTTGGCAGTGTTTGTCCTCTTGATAGCCAGTGATATCAGTTTGTACAGGAGACTCACATGCTGTACTTTGTCAAACTTCTTTCAGAAACCCGGGTACACTGTGTTGCATGGCTTCCCACTGTCAAATGAGATGTCACCTATAAAAACGTTCATGAGATTGGTCAGGTGAGATATGAGCTACCCTTTCTGAAGCTAGGCTGTCTGTCATTTATTAGGACATTTTCAAACATTTTGTTTCTAATGGCAACATACTGCAGATGTTGGAAATCTGAAATAAAAACAGAACTTGCTGGGAACACCCAGCAAGTCAACAGCATCTATAGAGAGAGGAAAATGAGTTATCCAGATGATGGGTCTGTGGTTGCCAGGTATGGCTCTGTCACCTTTCTGGATGGAAACATTTGTTTACTTCCAGTCCATTTGATACATTCCCTATTGTGATTGACTCCCTTATAATATTTTTCCATGCTTCACAATCTTCTGCCTTTTTCCTTTATTTATCATTGGGAGACTTACTGGTTTCAGCAATTATTTATCCCAGAATTTCTATAAGCCTTGTACACAATGCTCCCTCAATAGTGTACTTGTAACCAATTTAGAGTTCTCTCACCAAGTGCATGTTATCATCCCAACTCTTTGTTCTGTTCAAACACCTTCAAAAATTACTATCTCTATTAGCCAGTTTACTGTCTATTTTTGTATTAAATTCACAGTTTGACTATGAACTTGCACATACACCTAGCATACATACTTACCCTGAAGGTATTTAACATTCTTAACCAGTTTGCTCAAGTATTTTCTGCAGTAATTCTCAGGATTGAGAACTGAGACCCAAAAGGAAGTGCAGCATTTACAGCTACAGAAAGTATTACGCTTCCTGCCAGGTCATTGTGACTCTGCTCGAAATCACCTTCGTCAGCAATAGGACCACTTCATACTACCGTATTAACATTCAGGAAATATTCTGAGTGATAGGCAGGCCTCAGATTTGAGCCTTTGACAGTGAGTGTCAGGTGGCATCACTAAAGGTGACCGTACACACTTTCTACAGCAGTAGTTGGAGTCTAATCTAAAGCAGGAATCTTGACTGATTTTGCCTCCCTAATGTGGAAACACTAAAGTCAATTTAATAATGTTTGGCAACAAAATATCAGAATCGAGCTAGCTATCTGGCAGACTTGGAAGGGCAGACCAGTCACTGGGGTAAGGGAATCCTTGGACTCAGCTCTTGTTAAACCCTGCAAGCCAAAGCCCTAATGGGTATGGTAGTCCTAGCTGAGCAAGCAGTGGGAAAGCTTGCCAAACAGTGAAACAACAGCAAGCTATGCGGTTTTAGCTGGTTAGACTCCACCAGTATCCCAACATGCACTCTGGGGTCCCCAAGCCTTGACTCTAGCCAACCTGTGCATAATACTTTCCGGAATTAGGTAAGTAGGATGCAGAAAACTGAGAATACATGGAATTCTCAGTTTGGTTTGGATACTCTTAAGCATGGTGATGGGTTTCTGCATCTGTCAGACACTCTGCTGACTCCCCCAAAAATCTATTTAATCCCCCTGATCCTATACCAGTGGAGTCCACAAAATTAACATGAAACCTTGCAGGTCATGTATGATTCAGTTTCTGCAGGATTGTGTCAGTAATATCTAAAGTGCTTTCAGGATTATGGATAGGATAATTGACAAAGTAATAGCATAACGTTGGAAAGCTTAGCGGAGGAATTTATGAGTAAGAAAAAGTTTAAATTTATCAGTTCAACAACAATCATAATCACAGCTAAAAGATATATTAAACCTTTTTAACACAGTACGTACCTATTATTTGTGTTCGCTTTCTAATGAATATTTATTGGGTTTTCAGAATTAAATTCGTAGTGAGATATGACTCAACTACTAATAGCAACACTGTGTGGAAACATAAATACACAGAATTTGCAGTTCTGCCATGATTATGCTAATCCAGAGTATTATACTCAGATACCATATTATATATAGTTTGGCAAGTTCTGTTTAACAAACCTTTTTTTGAGTGATTTATACACATAGTGGTTAGGTATGAAATGGAGCGTGTTTTTTACCTGCATTTCAGAAAAACATTTGGCTTTTCCACATAATCCAGTAACTGCATGAGATTCAGGCACATGGGGTAGATTGTTACACAGGTGTTCTTTTTTATCAACACAGTAGTAGGCTATTTGGCCCATCAGGTCTGTGCCAGTCTCACTAATACTATTTTNGAAATTACAAAGAATGATGGAGTACTGAAACAGGCCAATTGGCCCAACTTGTCCATACTGGGAATGATCAAAGGTGGTGGCATATAATGTCTGGACCAAATTAACAGCCACCATGGTATAAGTACTAATTGATGTATGAGTAGTGCTTCTGGCAAAGTGCTGAACAGTGTGAAGTAGTCCTACTCCGTGTCTTTTGTATGGGGCCAGTGAATGTAGTTAGGAACCATTAATGATCACATAACTATATGATATTGAAATAAGGATTGCTTTGAAAGGACAGGCATCATACTGCACAGAGTAGCTGCTTCTTTAAATAAATTTGCTGCATCTGAAGGCTGACCTTGGTCGTACAGCTATGAACATTGGCATGAGATCCCTGCTCAAAAAATCATTTAGTTTTTATACAGCCAAAACAAATCTCAACACGGAAGGAGATGGGAGGCCCATTGATATGCTGGCTGAGGCAGTGGTGTTGGGAGATCATAAATGTCTGGCTATCTGAATCTTGTAAACATGTAACCTTGGTAACAGGAGGGGAGTGCAGTGCACGTTAGGGAATGAACTTGTATCATTGCATTGAAAGTGCTGAAACGCAACTTGTAACATTCTGACAAGAGCTCAAGGAGTGAATAATGAGGAGATCTTTGCAATTTTTGAATGAGGAGATCTTTGCAATTACTAGTGTTTGTGCCAGCTGGAAACACGTAGGGAGTTTCAATGGTTTGTTTATATAATGGTTTTCATAAGGAAAACGTGTGGGTGCAGGTCATAATGCAATGTTCTGGCCTGAAAAAATGCTGTTCTAAGATAAATTCATGTCTGCTTGTGTGTGTGAGGAGGTACAGTCTGAAGTGCAAGGATGTACAAAGCAAAATACTGTAATGTACAGATGCCATTCTGAGTCTACTAGATAACTGGTACATGAGTTCTCCGGAAGATTTTCTGGACAGATTGGATGCAGAGGAAGGATGTGATATCCTGGGTTAGCGAGACACCTGGGTTCAATTCCAGGCAAGTTGAAACCTAGTGCAAGTTTCCTTACTCCACACCCCTAGTAATAATCCCTCCAAAAAACAAAAACATTAATAAATTGGTCATTTTCAACCCACAACTGTTTTTGGGACACTGCTGTGTGCAATTGGCTGCCACGATTCGCCCACAAATATACAGTCAATTCACTTTACAGTATATTCTGTGAAGTGCTTTGAGACGTCTAGAACACTTGAAAAGCGCTACATCAAATGCAAGGATTATTATTATTATATGCAGCCGATGCATTAATGTGAGGCAGTGTTCTGACGTTATTTCTTCGCACATCGCAGAAAAGCGCTGAGCTGGTTGGAAAGGACTTTCTCTTATCAGAGCCAAAATACCAGGACCCCTTTTGGACTGAGTGAACACTTTGCCTGCTGGACAATAATAGAAATGAAAAGACCGAAGACAACACAGTTCGAGAGGTGGGTGTGCTCAATGTGCCTCAGACATTTTCAAGACATCAACAAAATATTTTTCGCCCACAACATATACAGTCACTACTCTTTACAGTATATCCTGTGAAGCGCTTTGAGACATCTCAACGAGGTGATAAGGTGCTATATCAAATACAAGAATTATTATTATCAATACTTTCCTGATTTGTTGGCTGCAACAAGGAGAAATATGTGACGGAAAAATAAGGTGCCATTCTGGCTTTTGAAAGCAGGTCCTGAAAAAAAATAAGAATATACATTAATGCATCGGCTGCATTAAGTCCCCATACTTTCAATATGGCCTGTTGCAATGGTTCAGCTGTGTTCAGCAAAACCCAAGAAGAGATGCTATTTTTNAAATAACGTGAAGCTCCAATTATGACCAAGATTCAATTAATTGGCAGCTGCCTGAGGATTTCACAGGCAATTTCATGGGGAAGTTAGGAAAATGTACAGTTGTAAAACGTGAGATTAATATTCAAGACATCAGGACTTTGCTGTCACTCAGAAGGAGCTCGAAGGATGCAGCTGTCAGCAAGGGTTAGCCAAGCAAAAGGACAGCCATTGGCTCTATTAACATGGACATTTAAAGTAAATGGCTTTGATTTAAAATAGGTTGCTCCCCTTCACCACTAATCATTTGAATGACATGATTTTGCCTGAAGTTAAATGTATGAAATGTGAACTTTCTGTATTTTTTCTCATACTTTTGCAATCTAATCACAATAATGTGCCTTATTAAAAAGGAGTTGCACGTTATAGTCGACCAGTGTGTTATTTTTCAACCGTGAATAATATGGGACTAATGGATTTTCATTTTCCATTTCCACACTGTAAGCCATTCCCACTTACTCGTTGGCATCTAAAAATGTTTGAGTGGTGCAACTTCT